GCAGCTGCACTGTAGTCTTTTCTATTTTGTAGTTTGATAGCCGTGGCGAGCAATTTGGTTTCAATATTTTAACAAAGATTCAGCTGTCTGTCGAAATCAAACTAAAAAGTTTATTTGTGTCCGACACAAGTACTGACTGTAGTTTGAGGCGTGTTTTCATGAGTCTGGGCTCACAAAGATTTTACAATAACTTGGAATGCGTTCTTGTAATAAGCATTAAATAATGCCAAAATGGGATATTTCAATGCCTCACTGCTCCTTAACGAGCATTGGCACCCCCCATTTTTATTTTATAATTAAAGTTCTCATATGATAAATATTCAGTGGTTTGAACAAAAATCTATTGACAGTTAAAGTAACGCGCAACGTATTTGTCAACCTCGTTCCCAGGGTCTGGGGAGCGGAAAGATGAGACTGGGAACAAGGTTGCGTATTTCTTGTCTTTTCAAGGACGGTCGGTTGGTCGCTTTTTGGCTGTCGGTTGTTCTTGAGGACAAGTCGTTGCGTCGCGTTGTTGTCCTTCGCTTGGCAACAGTCGGCAATTTTTGATTCGCTAGAATTTTGACTGTTTCGCGCCCTGGTACGAGACGTTACTTTGGTTTGAAAATTACACCAGGCGGAGTTGACTACTAGGACTGTATTGTTTTCTTGCACCAGATGTAGATCGGCAATCGTACAGCTATACATACTAGGCAACTGAAAATAAAAGAAAGATTATATTCTGTGGAATACAATCCTAACATTCTAATCTTTACTCCTCTAAAAGTTCTTCGAGTTAACATTTGGCCGCTAACATCTTCTACTTTCCTTCTCCCTCACTCCCTCTCCAGAACGCTGAAGCATAACACAAATACACAAGACTGTAAGGCAGGCAGAGTGAGAGCACCTGCCCGATGATGCTTTAATTCATTTCACACTAAGCTAGGCAAATAAGTACAAACAATGTGAGGAGGGAAAACTGGCTACATCTTTACGACTCAAAAAGCCTAAGTAGGAAAATATTTACTTAGTTGTAACCTACTTTCCAGAGAATCTTTAACATACATATTCTTAGCTTTCTCTGATTTCCATCGCCC